AAGAATGGCTTGGGGTAACATGGATGGAGGCACTCCTTGGTGAAGTCCTGAATAAATGAAGCAAATGCCTTTTTTTTTTTCTTTTTTTTTTTTCCTCTTGAAGCCAAATCCAGGTTGAAAAGAGCCATCTTCCTGGTGGCTGCTGTGAGCCGGCAGGAGTCCAGTGGGGAACCCTGTAGAAAGTTGGCTGTGTCTTCCAAGCTGTGGTTTGGCACGTATCCTCTCCAAGATCTCTGCCAAATATTCAGACTCCTTTTTAGTGGKTTTTTTTTTTTCCCTTTTCATGTTGGCATTTTATTTAACTGAACCATATGAGTTTAAGGCTGTTAGTTTGATGGAATTTGTCGCCAGAATGGGCTATTTTGTGTGGAGTTCTTTGATGGAAGGTAAACACATGAGGTGTATGTCGAAGGTGAACAAATTGCCTTGGGAGGAGGTTGTAGTAAAGGTAACATGAAGCAGTAACAGTGATGTTGGGGCTGGTTAGGGCATCTCTTCTGTGTGGGAATTTGACATCACCTTTGCCTGCAGAGCTAAGGAGAYCCTTGGTTCTCACAGGCAAAGTGTGGGAGAGGGGAGAAACATGGACACCCAACAAACTTTCAGATCTTTCCCCAAATGCATTAAAACATGAGTTCTCCAGCAACTGGGCTCGGTGAGTGCAGTGAAAGGTCCAGGGTGATCCTCCAGCACTTCCCTMAATTTTGCTTTCCCRGGGAGTCTGGGATTCCAGAGTGAAYKYTTTKCAGAGCTGAGCGCTGACTGGGGAGTTGCGTCAGATGTGGCAGCATTGTTCTGGATCAGCCTGACCTCTTTTAAAAAAATACTTATTTTTCCAACACTAATAGAAACCTTAGCTGAGGTTCTCTCCCTTTCTGTGTGTGTGCCTGAGCACTAAATTAAAAAAAAAAAAATCCCAGATGTGAATCTATAAACCATCTGTTTAAAATAACTATTGTGCAGGACTATAATTAAAAGTTATTTATTATGAATCTTGGGATCCTATTATGGATTTGACTGACTCCCAGGTTTCTGACTTAGCAAACGGTTTATGTATTTATGAGCCATGTGTCTCTTCCGCACTTCTTGGTGCCAGAGTGCATGTCCTTTAAACAAAGGAAAAAAAATCCCCTACCCTCCCATAACTGTTGGCTTCTGATTGTTGGCTGTCTAAGAAGTTTTCTCCTAAGAACAGCAAAATTCAAAGTATCTGAGAGCTTTCAACAGATTCATAGACACTGTTGACAGCACAGATGGAGGTTTGGTAATACAGTTCTCCTGCATACAGCTACTTAGCRACTTTCTAAATGTATGGCTGGGACAAGTAATGAAATGTTATGATTACTGGGGGTAGGAGGGGACGTAATTGGAAGAAAAGGATTTGTTGCTTAWGTCCCATTTGCTCTCAGCCTCCATTTTGCCCTTGTGAAATGGGARAGAAGGAGGCAGCAAAATTGAAACAAGCAGATAGACAGTCGACATTAAGAGCAGTGTTTTGGGCAACTGGGTGAAGGAAAAAATCCAAGCTCCCGATGACAATTACTCTTTGTTTTATTTTTGTACTTTTACACCCAGTGGACCCAGGAGATCTGCGCTGGATAATGCCTGACTGCAATAGACTAAACAATGATTTACCAGCCCTGCTTTATCTGCTGCAGGCCTGTGATGGATCAGCATGGTACATTAACCCTTTCCTCCACATCTGCTGGCCTAGTTTTCCATAAGATGCAGTATTGAGATAAAAGAGCAGCACTTTCTAAATAGAATTTTTGGATAATAGTAATAATAGTAATAGAAGCAGTAGGAGGTATTTAGATGMACTTCCCTGGAGCTACATCCATCTCTCCTTAGTTCAAGAGGGATTTTCCCATGAAGATTTTGCTGGGGCAGCAGTATGTTGCAGTTGTGGTTCTACTGTATGTTTTTTCAGCATAAGGCCCCAAAGGGTAGGGCTGCAGCCCTGAGCGATGCTGTACCTTACAGCCTGGAAGAGCAGCCCAGCCCTGGTGGCGGGGAGCTAGGCAGCTTGGGATGAGATGTGAAACAGCCCATTTTGGAGCCATCTGGGCCTTGCCTATAACAAGCTAGAGAGGATGGACACCCTCTTTGCAAATCCTACCCTGTTAAATGCTTAGCTGCTCTCCTTGTGCTGTTGAAGATTGGCTCCATTTACCTGGGATGCACGGAGCTGTCCTTTAAGGCAGGAGGATGCAGCTTCTCCTGCAAGGGACAGAGCTARCCTTCCTCTTTAATTTGCGGAAAAAATACCCAATAAAGGTGCAGTGGATGGGTGGTGAATATGGCACCTCCTGCCCACCTTTTAGCACTGAGCTGTAATAACTGAGCTTTGAGACAGTGATCCAGATTTGCTGTCCTCCACATCCAGTGACAACTCAATGACTCTCCTGCCTTCCCTGCAAGTATCCTCGCTGTGAGGACCAGTGACTTTTGGGAGCACAAAGAACAAGCCCCTTTCTGCTGAAGCCAGGAACTGAACAGCAAATAGTTCAAGGTCTACTGAGACAGAGAAAGGAAATGTGAATCTGTAGCCTACTGTTTAAGACACCCTCCTAGGGGGAAGGACCCTTCAGTTCCTGTCACTGCACTGTTGGCCACTAATATCCTTCATGTGGAACAGCTGCTTAATGCAAAACAGCCCTTGGCTGTTTTGGCACATGAATTTCAAACTCTTCCCTCCCAGAAAACCTGCTAAATCAGCAGCTTTGCTGGTGATACCGAAAGAAGAGCAAGACCCAAATTTGGCTGCCCCCTGGGGTGGCTCAGTGGTACCAAGCTCATAAATGGAGAGAATTTTTCTGATTTTAGCAATGTGGGGGAAACAGGAGGCTTCCAGTCAGGAACAGTAATTAGCAAGAATCTCCTGTTAGMTATATGTGTGTTGGGGCCATCCTTAGGAACTTCTTGCATCGCCAACAAAAAGAAACCATGTCAGGATGTACCTGAGGGCAGAAGGAGGCAGATGGCACTCAAGGGAGAAATTGCCTAGAAACTGGACAATATGAGGCATTTGCSCCAGTTGTCCTCTGGGAATTAGAAAAATAAAAAGCTGTGTTATACTTCTTGTCCCTGTCACTGCCATCTGCAACAGCAACATCTTCCTTTGAGGAGGGAGYCCAGTGAGTGGTGCCCATTGGCCCCCCTTATGCACAGCTAGCCCAGCTAGGCTGGTTCTCAAGGGCACTGTGCATCTCCCTTCTCTCAGAGCTGCACCTTGTGTGCTGCAGCTGGGTAAATCATGTTCTCCTCAGGAACAAACTCTAAACTGGACTGTGCCCTTCATTCACACCCACTTTCACCAGGCAGAAGATTGTCCCAGAGATAAAGATAAAGGGGCTGATAGGCTTATTAAATCTTTCCTTAAGCAAACTCATTAAAGAGAATCAGATCTCAGCAGAACCCATTAAAATRCCGACTGTAGTTGATTTGGTAAGCTTGATTCTGCTGCCCTTCATCAGACTTCATCAGCAAAGGCCAGGGGCACCATGTTCACATAAAGGGAATCAAGATTTCCCCGGGCGCTTTAAAAGAGATGTTGAACCAGTTGCAGTGCTGTGCCATGGCTGCTTTGTGCCACTCCAGAGCTACAGACCTGCCATAAATTCAGCTTAACCTGCCAGTTAAATTGCATTTATGGTTGCTCTGCAATGCTGGAATGATGCAGAGCAGCCAGCACGTAGCAGTGGCCTGGCTCTTTACAGTWATCATTTGTGTTGCTGCAGCTGCTCTTTAGGGCCTGATTCTCATTTGCTGATTTCACACTGTCTTGGTGAGAGTGAGTCCTCATTTACACTGATAAGACTGAAGGGCCTTTATAGCTCCCATCAGATCAGGCAGTGACTTTGAAGTAAATAAACCTCTGATTTTAGACAAAGGGCCGTAGTGTAATAAAAGCTGCGTGTTATCCTTCACAGGCACCTTGAATGAGGCCACAGGGAGCAAAATAAAAAGACTGGAGAACACAGCTTCTTTTTCTTTAGTTTTATGATTTACATTTTTCTAGCCCTTTGATTTTTTGGTCTCTAATTAAGTCATAAGATTGGGTGAGGTGGGTACTTGCATGTACTAGATGGCCACCTGTGTCACCTAATGAACTGAACTACTAATTATAGGTGGAGGTGACTTCAGAGGGCTATTTTAAGTCAGGAATTTGAAGTAGCAAAATTTTGCTAAAAGAAACGCCCAAAGTATTTGTTTTCTGCACCTATTTAATGGGAGGGATAACTAGAAGGGTGGACACCACGGGGGCAATGTAGGCAATAAATGGAACATTTCTGCTGCCTGCTGTTGCACATCCTCTATTGACATTCCTTAATGTGGTCAGTGTGCTCTTTGGCCTTGGGAAATCACTGGCTTTTTCCACAGAAAGATGACACCATAATGCACAGAGATTCTATCTGCTCATGGTGTTTCATTGATTCTCAGCATTTTGGGGAGAAAGATGAATACACTGGTCATYTTTTCTGGTATAGTATATGGTATCCTCTTTTAAAGAACCTCTAGGTAAAATTGATTTTCTGCAGTGTCAGGATTTTGTCTTCTCTGAGGTTGCCATCTCTTCCTCTGCCATTTGTCTTTCTGCCACCGTGAGAAGCAATTCCTGAGCTGTGCAGTTCATGGGGCAGCTCCTCAAGACCCTGAGGACATTTTAACAASCACATCATGTAGGTAGTTGTTCATTTAAGTAACATGGATTTCTTCAGTGCAGCATGTTTTCTGTACGAGACTGGATCACMGTCATGAATTGCTGCCGAAATGGGKTTTAARCAACATTTACTTGGGCTCCTGGATTATTCCAAGACTGTTTTCTGCTGCCTTCCTTCAAGGGAGAAAAGATGTATTGAATCACAAGGAGCTCTGCTGAAGCGAAAGAGCAGACTGCTGGCCCCGCATTTTATTTTCTGAATTGCAAGAAATGGTAGCTTTGGGTTTGGTTTGCTTGCAATAGCTTTTGTCTTTTTTTTTWWTYTTTTTTTTCCCAGAATAAGGAAGTGACCTGCAAAAGGGAGAAGTGTCCGGTGCTCTCCAAGGACTGTGCTCTCGTCATTAAGCAAAGAGGAGCTTGCTGTGAGCGTTGCAAAGGTGCCCTTCCCTTTCCTTCCCATTGTTTTCCCTCTTTTTAAAATGTTATCAGTGCACATTTAGGTTGCCAAAGATAGGACAAAATTTTTAGCTTCTCAGCTGGGACCTGAAGGTGACACAGCTTCTCTTGGCTGTCCCCAGAGGCTGGAAGAGGGCAGTAACCATAATCAAAATATATATGTTTACAAAGCTAAGGGAAATGCATAAATTCACATATTTATCCTGTAATTATTAGTTCTTGCACAGCAACAATCCCTTAGAAATACATCGTTATTTGTCATCGCTGTGTTGTCCGTTTTTTAAGTGTTGCCCCTGTTCTAATTTTGTCAGAAATATTTCAGGTCAACATCAATCTGCTAATAGTCACTGGTCAGTAAGAATCCCTTTAACTTTTTCATGTGGTTAGACAGAATAGGAATAATGCTTCTGAATAATAAAGAGCAGGATAATTATCCATGGCTGTTCCTATTKCTTCTCATACTGGAAACAAACCAAGCAAATTTTATTCATCTTATTAAACATTTCCTTATTCAAACGATATCATGGACATTTTTATGAAAGACAAATGAGCAACAGTCTGAACATTATACATTTATTTATTGACCAATATTGTACATTCCAAGCTGTTTAAAATGAKATAATTATCAAATTTAGAAAAGAAGTGTAAGCGTGCATGGCATGTATCTGCTATGTTTAGCCACATGAAAAATATGCAAGTAGATGAAGTTGAAAAGAAGTATTGTTTTTTATATTGATACAATAAGTGGTTTGCTCCAAACCACTAATTTTGCTGAGGGACTGCTGACACAATCAGTGAGGTAGAGAATGTCAGATTCAGACAGCTTTACTTTATTTTTCCTCTGTCATTTTTAATTCTTCACTGGTGATTGTGTGGTATTGAGAGGGAGATAGAGTAGGATAAATTGTTGGGAAATAAAAGCATTTCTTGCTTTCCCAGAGGAAATACAAATGCAGGAAAACAGACTATKCTGAAATTCAGAAGGAAGAGACATGATGGATGCGTGTTTTTYCTGGAAGGTTGCAGAGATGTGCTGGATGCTCTGCTTGTTCTTTGCTTCTGTGCTGCAGCATTGGACTAGATTTGGCAAGCCCCAATTTAAGGATTGTCTAGAACCATGACACTTAAAGGAGAAGTAAATGAACTGGAAAAAAAAATTAAAGCATTATTGAAACAATAAGAATTTGAAATCACAGATTTTACATAAATTACATGTAATTTATTTCTTTTGTCGAATTGTGTTTAGTGTCAGCTTTGTASGTAAAGGTTGCTAAGTGTCACTTGGATTAGGATGGAGTTTGGTTTTTCATTTTCAAAGTGGGATGTGTATTTGCTCAATGGTCTGAAAATTATATATATCTACATATAGATATGTGCATGCATGCATGCAGAACTAAAAGAGTGAATGTTTCAAAGCTGGGGATGCAAACAGTGTTTTAATTCAGACTACGTTTAAGATTTTCTCTTTATCCTACAGAACATTGCTGATAGATTTTAGCTTGGCATCTGCAGATTGGTGTGCTTGACATCTGTAATAGGATAATTAATAGAAACAGTTCAAAAAATAGAATTAGAGGGCACATGAATGCTTGAGATAGAAGAGGGATGAGTTAGCGAGGGTCCTTTGAATGTATCAATGGACAGAGAGATCCCACTAATAGGTATCCAACAAGATCCCTCACAGGGAAACTGCTGAAGAAACAAAGCAGCCCTGAGTTTGTAGAGATACTCTTTTCATCAGAAAAAAAATATCAAGTGTATTATTGTTTTCATAGTAAAAAAAAAAAGGCTGCCAGCATATCCTTGCAAAGATCTTAACTTGTCAAAGTGCTCAGAAATGATCTAGAAATGGGGCAAAGAGGGACAGGAAATCTATTGCTGCTGACCTGATCGCTGTAGCATAGTCAAGCAAGAGGACTCTCTGTGAGGAATTGCAGAAAGTTCTCAGGACACGGAACAACTGAAGACAAAGCAGCAAAGGAAGTTAACGTGGATGGCAATAAATGGGTGCACAGAGGACAAAACAATTGTGACTCTACAAATATAATACTGGGCTCTGAGTTGACARCAACTGAATGGCAATTGTTTCTGTGTGTTATGAAAGATACTTCTGTGGCATGATCAACTCAACCCTCAGCAGTTCTCCAAAGGGGAATTTCAATGCTGAGTTTGTTAGGAAAGGAGCAAGGTACAAACCAAAATGCCCTGTTTTCCCTCCAAGTCAGAAAGGCTGCCTATTCCTGCCCTTCTGGAAGCTAAAGTAGAGCTGTGGACCTTGTTTTGTATTTTTCACACTTCCAGAGGTGTCTCTTAGCAGCTGCTATCAAACAGAAGACTGKTGGCTAGAAGGATGCATAGTCTGTTGGCTAAAAGGATGCTTAGTCTGATCTAAGAGGGCAGTTTCTGTGTGCTTAAAATGCAAGAAGAACATTCAATTTCACAATTTAAAGGAAAATAAGCTCTCAAGGCCTGAGTGTTCAAAGCATATGTGAAATTTCTGAGTGTGTTTTTCTGCACTTTGTGAAAAGTCAAGCACCCATTTAACTCCCCAGCCTTGACCCCACACATTGTCATAAGGTTGTTCTGATTCATGGGGAAAAGGCTGCTGGAACCACCTGGGGAGAGATGAACCCTGGGGATGCTGCTGGCTCTCCCACCACTCTGAGCCCTGCTGAAGCTCCTTCTCTGGTCTCTACAGGATCTAAAATGAGTGTCCCATGGGGAATAATGGGGGAATCAAGGCAGCACTTCAGCTACTCCCTTTGGTGTCCCAGCAGCTCCCCGGCACTCCCCACACGAAGCTCAGCTGCAGTCAGGACTTGGCCCTGCAGCACTTGTTCTCAGTTACTATTTTGTCAAGCTGCCAGAGTGCCCATGGGGAATGCAAGCAGGAAAAAGGAAACAGGGATTTTTTTTTATTTTTCTTTTTACTAGTTGCATTTCATCTAAACGTGAACAAAACGTTACCAAGGAAAGACATGAGAACCTGATGGCTTTTTTTCTTGGCTTGGTTCCCAAAGCCTGGAAGAGCTTAATGAGGCCTTACAGGCTCTTGCCAGCTCTCTTTGATAGTTTCACGTCTTCCTACCTTGTGAAGAAATGAATGAATGAGTGAGTGAGTGAATGAATGGCTGCTGTCATCTGAGTGCAACATCAGGAGGATAACATTAAGACCAAAGGGCATGTTCCAGAATGGGCTTGTGTGGGAAGGAAACCATCACTCACGAGTCATTTGTGACATCTCTGCCCGTGCATTTTATTCTGTCTTGAGGAGGATGAGGACATTCCTTGCCTGTTGCATGGTGCTTGGGCTAAATGACCTCTAAAGGTCCCTTCCAGCCCAGACTATTCTGTGATTCTATCTGCAGCAGTGCACACAGCTGAACWCTCTATTTAGAGCTTTGCATGCAGGAGAAACTGAATTGTTGGTAGGGAACTTTTCCTGCAGATGGTTGTGTGCTGAGCATAAGTCCCTTGCTTCCCTCTGGGTCTGTTACTTAGATAATTTCTAAAAAACTTCTTTTTTTTTCATGTTTCTTAATGAACAGAAAAAGTAAGGAGCAACAGCTAGTACAGCTTTTGCAATCAGAAAATTCACTGTGGTGGAAAGTAGCATATGAAAAGATTTGGCTTTACTTTGTCACAGAATCACAGAATTTCCTGTATTGGAAGGATCTCACAAGGATCACCAAAGTCTGACTCCAGGCCCTGCACAGAACAAAAATGTGCCTGAGAACATTGTCCAAATGCTACTCAAACTATGTCAGTCTTGGTGCTGTGATGCTGCGACCATTCTCTGTCCCAACTCCCTCTGGGTGATGAATCTTTTCCTGATGTCCAACCTAAACCTCCCGTGACACAACTTTATCCCCTCAGGTGCTGTCACYGGTCACCACAGAGAAGAGATCTGTGCCTACCCCCCTGTCCCTCCACTTCCCTGTGTGAGGAAGTTGTAGGCTGCAATGCGGTCTAAGATTTAAATTAAGATTTAAGGTTTCAATCCTCCAGACCAGCCATGTATTTTAACACTRTTCTTGACTTTAGGCCCATAGGACCTCGAGAGTAAAGTCAGAGGGGCAAAGCTCACTTTTGGTGTGTGCTTGTGAAAAGTCTGGAACAAAGAAATGTGGGCCCATGCTTATGGCTCCCTGCTGCAAGGAGAATGGAGGGGACTCAGTCTAATAAGAAAAGTTTTCAGTAAGATTATTCTTTTGACAGATATTTACTGTCTTTTATAAAACATACCATATACATCTAGAATGCCATTAATTTTGAAAATACTAAAAAAAAATAAGGCCTCTCATTATTTTGTATAGGATAATAGGCCACTTTTCATCTCTCATTTTATTTAATGTATTTAATAAAAACCTATGAGGTCACAGAGATTATAGAAAAAGATTTGGCAGCATTATTGTATTTAGTTGGATGGAGACCTCTCTTACATATAGAGCTCTCTACACATCTAATAATAAGTTATTTKCACTCCGAAGAAGTGTATTTCTGGCTCAGGACTGCATCACGTTTGCATTCTGCACCATATTCTACTCTCTTATCCTGAGAATCTGAATCTTCTATGGAAATGCAAAGACAAAGTTGGTGGGATTTTTTTACAACAAAGAAAATATGTTCGGAATTTTTTTTCACTTCCCATGTGCAATTTTGCATTTTCTGTCCTTCTTAACTTTTGAAAATTACTGGGCCTCTTTTGTTGTGGTTGTTTTTTTTTCTCTTTTTGAAAAGAATTAATTATTGATCTTAGAAATTCTTGTGCTATGCTCCATTGATCTGGAATCCACCAGAGAATCTGGAATCCCAGCCCAGGCAACAACAGTGCTTGATCTCCTGAATATTGAATATCCAAAGATATCATAGTTAATTGTGCATTCCTTGGAAAGGATATCAAATGCTTTGGTTGAGGATTGCAGCCAATTTCAACTATTAGGGCTGGCTTGCAAAGGAAGTTAGAGGGAGATTTTGAGAT